CCTCCCTCCCCCCCACCCCTCACCCCCAATTCAAAATTCGCTCTGCCATCCCTGATCTGAAAACAGAGGTTTCACTCTGAAACCGCAAAATATTTCCGTCCACACTACGCCGAAGAAATTTGAAAACGCAACAATCACCGGCGGTCATTTTGGCTTTGTGTTTGAAGGAAACTCGGACAGGGGAACCAGATGGTTATCGTAATGTCACTGTTTTCGAAAAGCTCAGTTTTCAAAATGTCTTCGTCCACATTAAGACGAGATCCAAAAGAAAATCGAGCAATTTCAGGTTTTAGTGGACAAAAATCTGGCACTAGAATAATTTTAAGTATTTTACAGTCATTTTTACGTTTTCTTATAGGTAAATACATATATAATTGCCTGAAGTAACACCGAAAACAATTTCCCATGGGAACGAGAGAAAATGAATCTCAAAGTTCAGAGAACTTGTGCAAACACAGGCAAAATTTCATCATCAGTTTTATCTCACCAGTACTTTCAAGTGTTTCATACGAAGTTCAACATTCGCTTTCGGCGTTTGGTGTTGTTAGAAATGATTTTTTTTTTTGAGACGATATTTAAAACAGTCGTACAGAAGTTTACAATACGATGTAAATAATCTTGGTACTAGGTTTCTGTCCACTCGTTAATCGAACTTCTGGTAGATTCCGTCTTAATACACAAAGCCGGTTTTTTTTTTGCAATTCCTCCGGTTTGAAGAGAGTTGTAGAAAACCTCCGTTCTCGTGATGGATAAGTGTGGACGGAAGGCGTAACCAGAGAAATAAAGCTGCGTTTTTAAAATCCTCCGTCGTAATGTCGACGGGACATGAGACCCTATTGAGCATTGTGGCCGAAGAGTATTAACAGGAGCCGCTCCTGGTATTAAACAATTTATCAGTTTTACGATGTCCTGTGTTTTATAGATCAGTCACTGGGTCATACTAAATCAATTTCCACTCTTAGCTCTCGGTTTTTATCGCGGTCATAAATTGTCTCCGTTCTTCAGTTTGCTCGTCTGCCAAATTTCACCCGATACACACATTAGACTCGCGATAGAATCATTCATTTTGTCTGACTTGCTTCCAGGAAACATTCAGCCACCGGCTGGCGTCACTATCAAAGCCATAAACGGTTCAGATTTTGTCATTATATCATGGAATTATCAGGCAGACGTTACATTATACAGAATATTCTTCAGAAGCTTCAAATCCACGCCTGGGAACTCGAGTATCTCGCCACATGAAGTTGGCCCCATGTCCGTCCACTGCCTACCAGATAACAGTACGTGTAGCTATTGTGTATCAAATATCAACAGAAGAGTTTCATGCAACAAACTCAACAGCAAATATCAGGCTCCACTGCTACAAAGTGAACTGGGCTTTGAGCAACTTGTAAGTGTCAAAGTTGAACCTTGTAGCGACTACTTTCCGGACACTTGCGAGAGTCAAAGTAGGTGGAAGAATTACACCATACCGCCAGGAGGTAAGTTCAGTTTGCCCCTTCCTTCTAAAAGCGCTCAGATACAAAATTGGTAAACGAATTAAAATTAAACAAAACCACTGATGGATGAGCTATTCGATATATCGTATAAATGATCCTATATCGAAACTAATCATAAAAATTTCCTCGATTGTGATTGGTTCTTTAAAAAACTCCTATTTTCCACTAATTCACTTGCCAACTTGTCATCAGACAGTTTGTCATCCGGGAGAGTTCAATAAGCCAATCACGTTCAACGTTGCAGTTTAAATCAACCAATCACATTCAAAGTTGTAGTTTAAATCAATCAATCTCAACTGCAGAACAACATTAAACAATTTACGCCTCTTTTGTCAGTCTTTCAATGCAAATTTTCCCTTTTTTTCATAACTTGGTTATTTTTCTTTTCTCGGAAATTGCAATTTTTATGATTAATTGATAATAAGACTTCGTGTCGTCCAATTCGGTCTGTAATCATACTCGTGATAAACAAATCGGACTCCAGCTGCGTGGTCGTCCGATTTTGTTATCGTTCGTATGATTACAGACCGAATTGGACTCCACTCAATCCAATAACTTTTACTTATAGCAAGTACAAGTAAATGACAGACGAGGCAACATGGCCGAAAAATTGGCCAGTCATCAGTCGTTGTAATAGTTCCTTATTTTCAGTCTATTATTACCTTTTTTGGGGGGGAGGGCGTTTTTTTTTTCCCTCAGAAATCTGTTGCTGTAATTTTCCGCGAATAATAAAGTAATTAAAGCCGAAAATAAACGACTAAATCAGTAGCATGGCTAATTAATCAAACCCATAGCAGGAGTTAGTCATAACAATATCCATTAAAAAGGTAAAGATATGGACACTCGTCAAGGTAAATAGAAAATAGGAAAAAATTTCTGAGGACACTGAAAAATAGAACAAAATTTCACGAAATAATAAATAACGAGACTTATAACAAAGCTACTTCAGTCGGTCAAGCTTGCCGTTTCTTTGCTTTAAGTGTTCAAATGCACAGCTTACCGAAAAATGCTAATTTTTTATTTCAGTGCCCAGTCCAGTGAGAAATGTAAGCGGTCGGCCATTATCATCCAAAACAGCGGAGGTCACGTGGTTGCCGCCCAATCAGACGCGAGGAACAATTGTGCTGTACTCTGTGTTCTACAAAATAGCTAATGTACAGTGATTGAAGTGATACTCAAGGTGGCCGAACACAGTTTTCCCGCGCGCTTTTGCTGATGCAATTCAGCGCGTGCACAAGGAATGCAAAAAACAAACATGCCGTCAATGGAGCGATCATTTTATTTACTCGACACCCGTAGTATCTATGCTATTTTTCTCTATAATTGAACGCAGTGTATTGATGGCTTTAGTCTTTTATCGCAAATATATGTTAGAAAAGGTAAAGATGCAAAGAAC